AAGAGAGAGGGAGAAGGAAGGAAGGAAGGAAGGAAGGAAGGAAGGAAGGAAGGAAGGAAGGAAGGAAAAGAAAGGGGGGAAGGAAGGAAAAGAAGAGGGAAGGAAGGAAGGAAGGAAGGGCTAGATGAGGGCTGGGGTCACAGAGAAAAGTTATTTCTCCAGCCTTGCCGATGGTTTCCACATTATGCCCAACCCACCGTGGCATGACCTGCCTCCTCCTCTTCCTCCTCCTCTTCCTCCTCCTCTTCCTCCTTCCAGAACGCTATACATCCAGGGTGAGAGGCGGCTGGCCTTCTTGGGCTGGGTGGGGGCCATCCAGAGAGCAGCTAGCAGCTCCGGGGAGACTTTGCCAGAACAACAACTCACCGAGATGGATGTGCCCATCATTGTGGACAGGTGCATCGATTATATCACACAGTGCGGTAAGCAAGGGGGGGGGGAGGGCCGCCTTGGGGGCAGGGAGGGAGGCCCCCCCTCTTCCTTCCCCCCTCCTCCCCTCTTCCTCCCCTCCCTCCCTCCCCCCCTCCCTCCCTTCCTTCCCGTTCTTTCTCCTTTTATCTCTTTCCTTCCTTCTTTCCTTCCCCCTTCCTTCCTTCCCATTCTTTCTCCTTCCTTTTATCTATCTCCTTCCTTCCCTCCCTTTCTCTCTTCCCTCTCCCTCTTTCTCTCTCTCGGTCTCTCTCTTACACTTATTTCTTTCCTCCCTTCCTTCCCCTTCTCGCTTCCCCTCTTCCCCTTCCTCTGTCTTTCTCTTTGTCTCTTACTCTCTTATTTCCATCCATCAATCAATCCATCCATCCTTCCTTCCTACCTACCATCCTTCCCCTTCTCTCTTCCCCTCTGCCTCTCTCTCTCTCTTTGTTTCTTATTCTCTTGTTTTCTTCCTTCTTACCTTCCCTCCTCTTCTTCCCCTCTTCCTCTTCCTCTCTCTCTCTTTGTCTCTTATTCTTATTTTTATCCTTCCTTCCTTCTCCATCTTTTCCTCTCCCACTTTCTCTCTCTTTCTCTCTTCTTTCTCTTCTCTCTCTCTCTCTCTTTCTTTTCTTTCTTTCTTTCTTTCTTTCTTTCTTTCTTTCTTTCTTTCTTTCTTTCTTTCTTTCTTTCTTTCTTTCTTTCTTTCTTTCTTTCTTTTCTTTTCTTTTCTTTTCTTTTCTTTTCTTTCTTTCTTTCCCT